GATTTAAAAATGTACACACACCGGGGCTGCCACCCTGGAGACTGAGATCCAGTAGGAATGTTTAAAAAGCTCCCCAGGTGGTTTTGGTCATCAGCCACGTGTAGGAATCAGGGCTCCAGTGAACCTCCTTGAGGACAAACAGAGCTCTTTCCTCTTTGGTTTCTCTTTCTCCCCGAGAGCCAGGCAGTGCCTTGCATATAATTGCATATTGTAGCATATTTATACATGTGGTAAATTCACATTGTCTGCAGTTTTCTGAACCCTTTCTATGGGAGGTAAACTAAATTCCTAAATTCCATTATATTCTTGTTTAATCTGTATTATCCTTCAATACCTGATTCATTTAAAAAAACAAACAAACACATTGTTAAACATCGGTGGTGCCTTGGTTGCCATTTATGAGATTGACGATATAGAGACTAGAAAAAAGACCTGTGTTGTTACTATTTTCACAATGATATGTGGATGTAGAAGAAGGAAAAACTGTTTTGAAGGAAGTTCTAAAATGTTTTGTAACAGGGATAGTTCGAAACAGGGTCTTAAAAGGGTTAATAGGAACTTGCCTGCTAAAAAATAATGGAATGGAGAGAGCATTCCCATCAGAAGGCACAGTGTGTGCAAAAGAAAGGGGGCCTGAGGAGGCCTGAGGGGGCCTGAGGAGGCCTGAGGAGGCCTGGAGCATCCCGGGGTCAGTGGGAAGGTGAGCACAGTGCGTGTGGAGGACCTGTGCACGGACTGATGGGAGATGAGCCTGGGAAGAAGGGGGTCAGGAGGCAGTGGTGTGTTGGGGAAACTGGCTCTAAAGAAAGAAAGAAAGAAAGAAAGAAAGAAAGAAAGAAAGAAAGAAAGAAAGAAAGAAAGAAAGAAAGAAAGAAAGAAAGAAAGAAAGAAAGAAAGAAAGAAAGAAAGAAAGAAAGAAAGAAAGAAAGAAAGAAAGAAAGAAAGAAAGAAAGAAAGAAAGAAAGAAAGAAAAAGACAGAAAGGAAGGAAGGAAAGAAGAAAAAAGACCTGATGTGTAGACTTTGCCGATTTCTGTGGCGCAAGTATTCCCATCTGATTTCAAGTTACCAATGATTAAATAACTGGCTCATAAAATTCCTAAATTTTTAACAGTTGGTTCTTGTGAACTGGTACCCACGAGTTCCATTACATGATTGACCGGGGGCCGGATCCTGTAATTCCAGGAGATGGAAGCAATTTGTTGCCCTTGCCTCTGGATGGTTCTGCTTCACATTAGGTCTGCTTCATGGGTTTGGAGTAGGTTGGGCCAATGCACAAGGGACCTGAAAACTCACTGGAGATGATTCTCAGGCTCCGATCACCCGCCGTGGTGCCCTTACACCCAGGCAAGAGGGCACCAGTTTTGGTTCCCATGTTTAAAGGGCCTGGCTCTGCTCCTCCCCAGGCGTAGCTCGCCCCACAGAATAAGGAATCCATGGAGCCATGACCAACAGGAATCCACCTTCTCCATTCTGCTCCACAAATGTTAGGGGTGGTCCTGCCCTACCCCCCATTACCGGGGCTGCATTCTAAGCCAAGGTAAGCAAGCCACAGCCACAGGCAAATCCCTGCCCGCTGAATGTTTTTATACAGGCTGTGAGGTAAGAATGGGTTGTACATTTTAAAAATGAAAAGAAAAATATTTCACGACGTGAAAATTATACAAAATCCAAACTTCAGTGCCCATCCATTGTTCCGCTGGAACGCAGCCATGCTCATTCATTTGCGTTGTGCATAGCTGCTTTCACACTACAGCGGTAGAGAGAGTAGTTGCGACAGAGACTGTCCAGCCTGGAAAGCTACTAGGTAGCTCTTCCAGAAGGAGTTTGCCTACCCTCCTCCAGACAGACAGGAGGAAGGGAAGTGTCTAGCTAGCAGTTCTCACGCAGCTGCACAATAGAATCACCTGTTAAGCTCCCAAAACAGACCGCGCCAGGGCCCAACCCTCAATATTTCTAGAATGAATCGGTCTGGGGTGGGGGTGTTTTTAAAACTTCCCTGTGGTTCTATATGAGAGCCAGGGCTTTGAGCCACAGGGCTGAAGGTGTGGATTCACTGGGGCCTGAATTCTCCAAATATTAGGCAGAGGAAGGTTGCAGGCCCTGTCCCTGCTTCCCCCAAGGATCTGAGTGAATGATAACCTTTCTTTGAGGATGCAAGGGACCCGATTACTTGATTTGGTTGGAGATGGAGAGAAGGAAAAGAATCATTGATTGTTTCACACCGTATTATGATACATAAAACTAAGGGGTTTTTTTTAATGCGAAAGTTATTCTTCTTCCTCAATTTTATTTTATTTTAAATTGAATTTATTGGTGTGATGTTTGTTCTCAAAACCATGCAGGTTTCAAGTGTACAACTCAATAAAACATCCTCTGCACACTGCTTTGTGTACCCATCACCCCAAGCAACCTCTCTAAATCCTTGAACCGCTGGTTCTAACACGTGTCCCTGCACGCCCCCAGCATCGTCTACATCTGTCAGGCACCTGGGCAGGGGCCTCCACTGGGACCCACACTGGGTCACTTCTCAGGATAAACTCCAACAGGGAAGGAACCCTTACCCCACCTGTACCGCGTGCCCTCCATAATTGTTGGTGGTCTTGCAGGGAAGGAGAAAAAAGATAACTCTATTAGAATCCCATTCTCCACCAGCACAGTCAGCACCATTGGCAGAGGCTGGCTTCCAGCTATTATTGTGCCTGGCTCTCTCTCAGCAGGACTCAAGCAGACAATATAGCACAGCCAGAGTGTGGTGGGGACCAACAGTAAATACGAGGCCTTGGATTTTTAAATCTTGTCAGTTTTCCCCTGATTTGTGTCCTTTATCCTAGCCCCCTCTGCTGTATAAGCTTCTCAAAGCTAATGCCCATAACGCCACCACCCACTGGTAGCAGCAGGCTGCTGGGCCACCGTGGGGTTCTCATTGCAGCGATTTACAGTGCCTGCCATGACGCAGTCACTGTGCGTGCTAGCCTAGGGGACCGGGTTGCTCTAACACCTTCCCCTCCGGTTTCTCTTTACTCTGGGGGGGGGGGGGGGGGGGGGAGGAGCAAGTCTAGGAATGCCTAACCCCCAACTCTAATTGCTTGCCTCCCACCTCCCACCCCACACCTGGCAGAGCTGGCTAGCCCAAGCTGGAGAAAATGAAAGCATGGGCCATGAGGGAGCTAAGGGATGACTATCATTTCTGCTGCCACATTTAAAAACTTAGTCCGGCCAGCGTGGCTCAGTGGTTGAGCGTCACCCTATGAACCAGGAGGTCATGGTTCAATTCCCGGTCAAGGGCACATGCCTAGGATGCAGGCTAGAGCCCCAGTGTGGGGCGTGCAGGAGGCAGCTGATCAATGATTCTCTCTCATCATCGATGTTCTCTCTCTCTCCCGTCCCCTCTGAAATCAATAAAAGTACTTCCCAGAGCTATTTCTTTGCCCTCTTGTAGATACCAGCCTGCCACCTTCGTCTTTCTTTTAAGAGTTCATGGGATTACAACCCAGGCCCACAGTCAGGCTCTAAAATGTGAGCCCACTACTGAGGCTGCCAGTGACCTCAGCAAGGGGCACCTGTGCTCCCATGGCTGTTGGAAGGTGGGCAATGGCACACACGTTACTCCCTTGAAACGACCCTGAGGAGCGAGTTAGTCTTTCAAAGCTTCTATAATTCTAATCAGTTTCCAGGGTATGTGGTTCCCATTTAACGAAGACATTTGCCCATTATCTCTCCCTTGGTACCATGAAGTGCCCCATTTCCCAGAGTGCCAGGGGCGCAGGACGGTGAAAATGCCTGAGGCATGATGAGTCGCTTCAGTCGGGGCTGAAGAAGCGTGGGCTCTTGCGAGCGTTTCTGGTTTGGAACGTGTGTCAGCTGAGAACACTGATGCTTGTGAGAATGTTAGTTTGCAAAGGGAAACGAAGAAGCCACGGAAGTTCTAGGAGAGCAGCAAGGGGAGGAAGACCAGGGGGTAGTAGCTGCTGGTAGGTGAGGATCTGCCCAGGGGGGAGCCAGGGGCCTGGGCCCTTTTAACATGAGACTTGAACTGGGATTTTTTACCTTCAAGGGTAAACATTTTTAAATTATGGAACATCATAGCTATACATCGATGACTGTATCTCATATGAACTTTATTAGCAATTTATCAGTTCAGGGGGAGGGGGATTCTTTTGGGGTTATAAAGCTGGCAGATCTGACAAGGAGGTGGTGATAGAAAGGACACCAGCCCCCCAAGGCAACATGTGAATCTCAGTGCGAGCTCCCTGCCCATTCAGGTGCAGACCCCACGAGGTGGTGGTCAGGGAAGTGTGCTCAGTGGCAGAAGCTGGGATTTGTCTTCAGTGGAGAGTAACCTACTCACCTCATCTTAGGACACGTGCAAAAACCAGGAAAAAGAAGTAATAAAAATAAACAGGGTTGTCATTGAACAAGACCAGATTGGCTCCAGATGCACAGAACACGTGGTGAACGTCATAAGGAGCTGGAGGGTTGTGAAGACCCTCGACTACACAAGCTTGGTTTTGCACAGCCTCCTCCACTTCACCTAAATATGGCCTCGCAAAGCAAGGTGAGGGAGGGGTTAGCAGGCTCCTGGAACATCCCAGCTGACTCACTCCTTCCCACAGCCAAGAGCACTGTGTGTTCTCATTTCTCTCTCTGGGAATGGCTGTGCCTAAGAGTTTGCCATGTGACACAGTGTATGGTGTTTTGGGTACTCACCAAGAAGACCTACCAAGAAAATGTACAGAGATTCTTTTATTCTGTATCATGTTACAAGAAAACAACAGTGACAGCTGACAAACCATTACATCTTTCATAATACAGACAAATTACAATTGGTAACAAATATGCAACGTGTTTTACTCCATTCTCCTTACTATATGTTATTTTGAAGTATAATAGTTTTCTGAATGATGCTAGCACATTTCTTAGGTACCAACCACCTGTTAGAAAGTACGCATCAGTGTATCTTACAGAAAAAAAAAAAGATAAAAAAAATCCACTCCCAACTAGAGAATGTAGATTTTATTTGTGCCTCTAAAATATGCTGCTGTGGGAAGGGAATGAGAATAGGAGATTGCTGATTTTGTTTGAGATTTTTTTTTTTCTTTTTTGTTGTTGTTTGGTTTTGGTGTATGAGGACTGCAAGGCAGTAACATATGTGGTTTCTTCTGCCTACAAGCCAGTAAAGGGGATAGAAGTTATGCACAATTATGCAGCATATTCCTATGTATAGGGGGCAGGCAATAATCTACCCCAGTATGTACAGCCTAAACTTCCTCTTATATAACAAAGATTACAAAACCAGTAATATTCACAGATGATTATCTGATAGAGACACATGACTGAGGGCATTGATGACACTGGTTGTCATGGACACACTGAGGGAAGGATGCCCAGAGGCCTTGCTTTCTCTGCAAGCCTGGAGGAGGCGCCCCTGGAACTTTTCTCATCACTCTTTCGAGGTAGAAATAGCTTCTCACTTGTTTCAGTGGGTGGACAGCCATCCTGCTTTATACCCCATTGTTTCTGAGCACTGCAAACATCCCCCCCCCCCCCATGTTCTACCTAACTTGTATTGTTAAGTCAACCACACTGCTCCTTTAAGAACATGGACACGAAGTCCTGCGTTTCCTTTTGGAATACTGTGTGTATACAGTCCCCATGCTGGTCCAGCTGTTTGAATTCAAGCTACTCCTTCCTATAAAAATAATCTCACAAAACATTCCAGTGCTTTCTCAATGGAATAATAAATCTGCTAATGAACGCATTCTGCAATGATTTTCGTGGCTGCCCTCAGCTAGAGACAGTGGGGATAAAAGGGCTGGGGTGAGGGGGGAGAACATGATTGCAAATGTGAGAGGAAAGGTGGGAGAGACAAACCAAACTTTGGATGTTCTGTACTGATGGCAAGGAGGGGGAACTAAAAGTTCCTAAACAAGATCTTCTGAGAGGTCTGTCTCCAGCAATAAAACGGATTTACCCCTGCTGAGTACTAGCGTGTTTCCTTTCCCCAATAGAAGCTGGCTGGGACAGGGGCAATATCTCTGAATGACTCTACTATGCCTAATTAAAGAATTTTAACACTAAATATTTTCAAATTTTCAAGTTAGAAAGCTTAGTACATAGTAAGATTTAATCATCAGTTGCTCTCGGTTTTAACTTAGTAAAATACAAAAGTTAAGCCTCTCCCCCAAATGAATAATTCAAGACAAATCACAGGCAAGGCTGTTTTTTAATTGCACGTAAGTTTTCTTCTCCATATTTTCTGTAAGAAGTCCTAATTTAAATACACAAATCAAAATACCTGTAAAGACTACTAATGAGTTGGAATGCATGAAAGAAGAGTGGGAAAGCTTTCTAGGTAGCAAATACTCTAGCCTCAGGTAACTTTTATTCTCTTTAACACCAACCAGTAAATAATTCCTCAATTAACATGTAGAAGCTCACAGTGAATGCTACTTCTAGATACAATGGATTGTGACCTTGACTGTATTATATACTCACATGTCACTCCAGGGACGGTACCATTTTAATGTTTAGGAAGTCTGGGTCCCATTCCCTAGGTATACTGGGTGTGACTATTAGAAAAGCTTTCTCTTACCTGACTCTCAGAGAAAGTCTTTGTCAAACTGGCTCACAATTCCTAGACTTGGTCCCCCAAAGTGCAATGCATTTCAAGTTCCTGGTCTCTCCTTCTTTCTGACTAATAGGAAAATGTAACACAATGTACAGGAAGTATTTCCATAGGAATTTGTGTCCTGAGGAGCTAGGTTTCATGCTTTCGATGAATTTCCTAACCACCCCCTTGGCCTGAGGATTATCTGGGACTCTGCAGTGAGGCCTGTCCCCCTGGGAGACGGCCTCCATCAGAGAGCTTCCCCTCCAGATCAAAGCACCACAAACGCCCAACCCACTTTTCCCTCCATGTCACATCCTCGCCTTCATCCTCCAAGGTCTCTCAACTCCTTCAACAGGGGGAGCCAGGCCTTTCTGTTCCCCTTTCCCATCCTTAAAGCATGAGTCCTGTATTGCTTCTAAAACCTTCATTCAAACAGTTTTTTCCCCAGGAGACAGTGTAAAGTCAGGGTCTCCAAGGATGGCTTCCAGTCAGCTTGGAATGTTTTCAAAATGTAATTTACAGGTGCTCTGATGTAAATGAGCCAGTTTTTAACTCTGGATCCCTTTGTCGCTTGCTTATTAAGTGTTAACTAGCAAAGATGGCTTTCAGGGCTCATGCAGCCGATCCGACTCCGTGCACCCAAGTTTTGAACGCTCTGTTCCTCACTCTTTTCTCCACTAAGAAAACACCACGTGCCAAAGAGTGCATGGAAACAATAAGATGTTGACGAGACCCAGGACACAGGTAAAAAGTCACCTCCAGCTCCAGAGGTTGAAAAGGAAGCAATTTATCCCTGTCCTTTGTCCTTAAAGCTTGATACTTGGTTCTTCACTTCCAACCTATTTGGAAAACAGTCATGCTATGTGGCTTGAAAACGCTAAGCAGGTTCTGATATCTTATATAAATGTGTGGTGTTTCCAAGAAAAAAACCCCAAACTGGGAAATGTCCTCAAAAGGTAGGCGACAAGGGGGCCCCACAGCCAGGGACCAAGTTGCCAAACAGTCAGAGAACATGGGTTTGCTTTAGCTGAACATGACGTTCCTGGTGGTTGCAAAATGTGCAGTGGTCTCCAGGAAAGCGCACATTGTTTCATGCCACTGTGTGGCTTTCAAGTACAGATATTACTGAAGAAGTGTGAACACCAGATGTGTTGTCTTAATGTATTTAAGACATGGTTGGTAAAAGCATAAAAACCTTCACAGAGACGCTGCGCTGCTGAGGGAAATCAAACAAAATCAAACACAAAAGACTGAAAAGAATACATGCCATGGATCAGTAAGCGAAGCTTAATCTTCACATAGTTCTTGGGAATCACAAGATATCCAAATGCGTGCAAGGTTTTAAATAAATTGCAGAGAAAGCAGGGTCTTGCCAGCTTCAATTTTCTTGTAAGTGAAATCCACCACAGGGAGTGAGAGGAAACTGATCCATGATTCCCTTCCTCTGATTGGCCACTTCATTAATGGTTTTTTTTTCTTCCCAGAATGATGACAACTTAATCCTGAAAGGAGGAAAAGAGAAAATTGTTATATGGTAAAAAAAAAAAAAAAAAAATCATACATCATTCATTTTTCTTCAATTACACGAGACATCAAAATTGGTCAGGCCAGGGTGAGCCTATCTGTTTTCTCCACAGCTACCCCAAGCCCACGTATCTGAGGCAAAGTGCCTCCTTCACCCCCAAAATTCTTATAATGTGATAAACAAATGTTCTGACTGCTTTTACTTCCCTTCAAAGAATTTAAATGACCTGACCTCACCCAGCCGGAGTGGCTCAGTTGGTTGAGCATCATCCTGTGCACCACAAGGCTGTGGGTTCAATTCCTGGTCAGGGCACATACCTGGGTTGTGGGTTTGATCCTTGGTGAGCACATATGAAAAACAACCAATCAATGTCTTCCTCCCTCCCTCCCTCCCTCCCTCCCTCCCTCCCTCCCTCCCTCCCTTCCCTCTTTCTCTCCCTCCCTTCCTCTTTCCATCTTCTCTTCCTTCTTTCTTTTTCTCTCTCTCTCTCTACACACACACACACACACACACACACACACACACACACACACACACACACACCGTCCTCTAAGAAGCAGAAAATTGGATCATATAGATGCTTAAAAAAAAATTCAGCTGCCTACAATTCCTCCATTGTCTAGTATTAGCCCTAGTTTCTGTAGAATGAAAACTGACACAACCTGAAGTTAGCCAGCCTCTTGCTAACTTCCTGCACATGACTGTGCATTTGCAATGGTGCTGCTTAAACTCCATAACTACTTCCATGTGAACGGTTCGAGAAGAGAGAAGGATGGTTTGCCCTGCTCTGCCCACATTTCTTTTTGATCCTTAAGCTTTCTCATGGAGTCTCTAGGATGGGAAAAAAAGTTTTGCCAGGAAGGGTAAAGGAAACACTCCAAGGTTCAAGTCACAAAGCCCAGAGATTTGATCTATTAGTTCACTGAGTCCCCGAGTCAACTCATCATCTTCGTCAGAAGCGTGAGTCACGAGGCCTGGTCAGGCCTCCTTGTGCCCTTCTCCAATGCCACACTGTCATCTTCCTGGGCAAAGAGGAAACCCTGGCCTTTTGCGGAGAACTCACAGTGCAGCTGCCCCCCTGCTGTCCATGTGGGGTGTAGTACCAAGGACCTCACCCCTGCAAGGCACTGCCTTGACCAAGAGAACAAAAAGTTCCAGTCTTATAGTTGAGGGTGGCATCTTCTCCACCTCTGCTCATTTCTCCCACTTACTATGACAATTTTTTGGAAGCTTAACCTTCCATCCTTTTTTTTTTTTTTTTTGATTGAGCTGAAATTCATGTAACAAAATTAGCCATATGAAAGCAGGTAGTACATTTACAATGTTTGCAGCATCACCTCTGTCTGTTTCAAAACATTTGTCATCCCCCAAAGAGACCCCATATCCTTTAAACAGGCACACCGTTTCTCCCTTGCCCCAGCTCCTGACAACCACTAATCTGCTTTCTGTTCTATGTATTTCCCTATTCTGGGTATTTCATAGAAACAGATTCATACAACATGCAGCCTATTGTGTCTGGCTTCTTCCACTTAACATAATGTTTTTAAAATTCATCTATATTGTAGCATGTATCAGTACTTCCTTCTTTTTTTATGGTGAATAGCATTCCATTTTATAGATATACCACATTTTGTTTACCCATCCATGAACTAGTGCACATTTGAGCTGTTTTCAAAATTTGGCTACTGTAAACAGTGCTATGAATATTCATATGCAAGTATTTGTTTAAATACTTGTTTTCAATTCTTTTGGGTAAATACTTAGGAATGAAATTGCTGGGCCATAAGGCAATCCTGTATTTAACTTTTTGAGAAACTGGCAAACTGTTTTCCACAGTGGCTGCACCCTTTTATATTCCCATTGGCAATATACAAATTCTCTAATTTCTCCACACTCTTGCCAATATTTATTACTTTCTTATTTCCCCCTTCTTGATTATAGTGAGTGGGAACTGGTATCTCACCAGTTTTGATTTGTATTCCCTCTAATTATTAATGGTGTTGAGTGCCTTTTCATGTGCTTGTTGCTCATTTGTCTATCTTTGGAGAAATATCTAATTCAAGTCCTTGGTCCATTTTCAAATTGTTTGTCTTTTTGTCATTAAGTTGTAGGAGTTCCTTAAATATTTGTATTTTGATTTGCAAATATTTACTGCCTTTTAGTAGATTGCCTTTCACTATGTTGATAGTGTTTTTTGATGAACAAGAAATTTTAATTTGGATGAAGTCCTATTTATCCATTTTTCATTTTGTTGCTTATGGTTTTGGTGTCAGATCTAAAAATCCATTGCCAAGTCTAAGATGATAAAAGATTTACCGCTATGCTTGCTTCTAAGAATTTAGTCCTTACATTTAGATCTTTAATCAATTTTTAGTTCATTTTGGTAAATGGTGTGAAGAAGGGCTAACATTCCATTCATAAGAGTTCTCTGTCCTCAGTGACTGAGCCAAATGTAAACAAAAGTCCTTACCTTAAGTTTCTGGGAGAGGTGTGGGGTGGAGGGAGAGGCCTGGGGGTAGATGGACAACACATATAGGCCTTTTGCTACCTCAGTTGTTGTCTCAAATAGTTGCTGCTGTGGGGCAGTTCTCTATGTGGCTCACTTGGCCACCTCTCACCTCTGCCAGGTTGTCCAGAAATGCCTTTATCAAACCACTTCTTAAAAAAGTTGCCACCTTAGCAGAAATAATTACATGGAAAGTACTGCCATAGCCCCCATTCCACACTTTGCAAGGAGAGAGAGTCTTGTTAGAAGCCCGAAAAGTTTTATAATATGAGTGAGACTTGATTTGGGCCTTAGAGATGGAACAGGATGTGGACATGTGACAAGGAGAGGTCAGTCACTTATACAGAGGGATCTATCAAAACCAAAGGTTCAGGCTGGGTTGGTGTGGCTCAGTGGTTGAGCACTGACCCATGAACCAGAGGTCACGGGTTCAATTCCCAGTCAGGGCACATGTCTGTGGCTGTGGGCTCGATCCCCAGTAGGGGGCGTGCAGGAGGCAGCTAATCAATAATTCTCTCTCATCATTGATGTTTCTATCTCTCTCTTCTTCTCTTTTCCTTTCTATGAAATAAATAAAAACATATTTTAAGAAAGAATGCTTTGCTTTTCAGTATACCTGATTTCATGTAACAATAAACTATACCGTCACCATAGTCCATGGCAAGTTATTATTCTGTTGGGTTGGTATTATACTTTTTTTTTTTTTTTTTTGCCATTGATGGTGTTTGTCCTTGTCTTTGTCCTGATTCTTTAAGTGTAATTTCCAGAAGAATCACATGTACCTAATCAGATAATTATCCTTTAGTAATAGTAACTGGATAATAAATGGTGAACAGTGATTATGGATAAGTCCATTTAGTTAGGTTTGGGGTCAGACATTTAATGAAAGTATCCAACAATTAAAATAAAATAAAAGGAAGGGAGGTGCCAATGAGAGCTAGACCCCCGTCTCTGTGAGATGACTCTATAGCTCAAATTGTGCCAAGTGCCCTGACTGACATTGTTCACCAGCAAATGCGATGTCCTTCTCCCTCCTTGGGCAACACTGGTATCAGTTCCAGTTTTCAAGGTAGGTGAGTTTACTGCTAGAAAAATTCTTTAAAACCTAAATGTAATCATACATGTGATGGGTGGTGATGTAGGTGAAGGGAGAGTATAGGACATTCATAGGGAAGTAAAATATAATAATAATGCAAATCCTTCCCTTACATTTAATAGATTATTAAAACAGACTGCACACATAATACAAATGAACAATGAATATAAATTATAAGCTCAGCTATGTGCACAATTCATAGGTATATAAATCATTAGATTAATGGATGCCATTTTTATCTTGCTTTCTGCTTTTACAGTGTTCTTTCTCTAGAAATGAATGTTTTTAAACAAGAAATTGGATTTTATTGATAAAATCCTTATTCAGAAATATCTACATAGAGCTTCTCAGCTATAAATATTAATTAATTGGATCGCTGGTACCCATAATGCAATTTTGTTCTGACCCATGTGCCCTATGAACTAGATATTTTTTGGATTCAATTTTCTTAAAACCAACTGTCAGCATCATGTGATGGAGGAGATGAAAAATGAAAATGAGCAGTCCCGCTGTGCAGGTGGGTGACCTGTGGGAGAGAGTCTGCCTGGTAGGATTTTTACAGGAACCATCAGACACAGACCAATTGATTAGATCATCTCATACCCGCCACCAACTAGGCTCAAGAGACTAATTAGAGAGAGTACTGCCTGCGCAGGCACCCCATTGACACCTAATTTGCTCAGCCAAAGCCTTTGGGGAAAATGTATTATCTCTGCAGCTGCACTTCATGCATTTCTGATTTGAGGCATAAGCAAGGAGTGCTTCATCATTCTTTTGACCAGACTGAATGTAGAGCCCTTAAGTGCTAACTGCAAGCAAACAGACCCAAATTAAAAATGGGCCAGGCTCTTTCTAATTCCCTTCCTGCTCCCTGTTAAATCTCCATGGGTCTATACAGGGGCACACCCCTACGCACACATGAAGTTTACTCGCTGGCGGGATGACACAGCCCAGGACCCCAGCTCAGGGTGCTTCCGGGTGATCAGATGGTCTCTCCTTCGCTAGCCTATTTGCCACACTAAGGTATTGTGTTTGTTTTATTGTTTTACTTAAATTATTAAAATTTTTTTGATCTGCTGCATTGCCCCTCCACCAAGTATTTCTTTTTCTATCTGGCCCATTCCCCCTCCCCCCTCCTAAGCCTTCACTGGAGAGAAGTGATTATTTTGGTTCCAGATTAAAACAACTGTAGGTTTTCCTTCCATCTCTTACATTGTGAACAGGATATTCACCAGAATGTATGTGAAACTGAAGGGCAATCCGCTCATTTCTATTTGAGAGACTTCTTTGGAAAGATGCCTAACTGAGAGGGTAGACTTACTAAAATTTGATGGAAAGAAAGCTACCTCATGATAGCAAAGACAGGATAGAATTA